ATAATACTCTTTAATACGTTTTAAAATATCTTTATATTTCATAATGAAAATGATAGGCATAAACAAATTCTCTGCGTTCTTATGACTTAATTATTGAGAGTAATAGAATTAAAAGCAAAAAATTCAAGTAAAAGCATACGACAAATGAACAGAATAAAGATAATATATTAATATGATTTATTTATGAATGATATATTAAACAAACCTTGTACATAATTTTATATATTAATTATATTTAATTCAAATACATAATGATAAAACTTATATAGATGTTTTTTCTTTGATATTCTCAAGGTACAGATTATCTATATATTTTTAAATATATTTATATATATGTGATGTTATTATTTACAGATAATTCATGATATTTTTTGAAGCAATAATATAATAATTATTACAGTATATCATTTAAATTATAACCTATTTAAAAAATATAGTGTTCTCCTTTTGTGCTTTTCTTAAATTCATGAAGTTAATGAATCATATAACTCATAGTTCTCTCTCAAATAAAGTATTATATGATGTGATATTAAAATAATTTGTTCATTACATATATAGAGAAATTCCGGAGCACACAAATAATTAATTATACTATACTCTAATTAATATATGTATATAATATAAGAATGTGTTAAAGGCTATGCTATTATAACTGCTATAATTATATCAGTTAATTGTACTTCAAGCATAAAGAAAATATACTCCTTAAATATTAATAATAGGGTGATATATTTATAGCATATTATAAATATGTATTATAATATATTAAGAGATATAAATATTAGATCATCAAAATATAATACTATGAAAAAAAAATAATTTTAATAAAACCTATTAAAGAATATTATGAAAAAAAAAATATATATATTTTTGTGATATACAATACTGTAAAATTATGGGATCTTGATAGTATCAATATATCAATGTGCTCTATTTTTTATAATATATTTCATATTCTTTGAATTTTCGTATAAAGGGGTAATTTTATTTTTTTTCATTGTATGAAAAGAAATGTTAAATAACATATGTAAATTACAAATCATTTTATTTAATCATATTAAAATATTTCATTATGTATTTTATTAAAATTATATATTGTTTTTAATAAAATCAGAATGTATGAACAAACAATAAATATACAGTTAATGTACTTCTTATATTTATATCGGTTATACAATAGCAAATTTTTTGAAAAGATATGTACACAAAATATATATGTAATTTTCCTACGTTAACTTATGCTTGTATGCTTTAGAAAATAAAATTAATTTAAAAATATATCCATGTTTTACACATAATATATTAAATATTTTAATATATATCTTATAAACAAAAAAATTGCAATCAATATTTCAGAAAAATTCTTATATTCAAATCTTATATCATTAAGGATTCATAATGAACTTATGATATTTTTTATTTTTAAAATTACATTTATAATATATAGCATGTTATAATTGTTTTAACAATATAATATATTTAATAATATTATGATTAATTCATAATTTCTGTAATGGCATATATAATGCTGAAAATTTACACAAATAAATATAATAAAATAACATATATATGTATAGTTAAGACGGATTCACACTGTCATGAATTTTATTGTATGTCTTACAGTTATATGAGGATAATTACTTATATATCCTTTTATAAATCTAAGATATTTTATAAAAATTATTATCTTTTCACGTATTTATGTGTTTAAGAGTTTGTATGTATAACCAATATAAATATATATGTTTAATTATTTGTTATGCTATTTATATGGTAATTCAATGTGAAAACAATGTAATTTTGATATAAGAGTGATATTTTTGTTTATGCTTAAGCTAATTAAAGATGCAATATTTCATTGTTTCATTTGATACATGATTCTTTGTATATGAATCTTACAAAATATAAATAACTAATTTGTTCGAGTATAAATATGAAGATGTCGAATTTGTTATATTATAAAATATAATAAATATATATTTGTTATTTCTCTCTTGTACTGTAGTTAAAAATAAATATAATAATTATATAATTATATGTAGAGTTATTTATGAATACATTCAACGCACGTTACAAATATTTATATATGTTAATATATAGATTGTAGTGATATAACACATTGTACTTAGGGACTTCTTAGAATTTAATTGTACAGAGCTTAACGTGCCCATAATGAAATTTATAATAAAATATTCTGTTTTCAATAAAAGATAATATTAATGTTTTTCATATTTTTTACAATGTAAAAGAAAAAAGATATAGTTGTCATAAGTGAAGAAAGTAATATAAATATACATATATATATTCTAAAAATAATTTGATTAATTATAATATAATATATGTATAAAGTAACCTGTGCTTTTATTATATTAAAGTACATTCCCTTGTGAATATATAAAGGCAAAATATAACTATAAGAAATATTTATATTTATTATGCATAACATTTATAATTTATTTTTATACAAAGCAATTATGAGCCCTTAAATATATACGTATTATACATACACTTGAAACTTTGTCATTATTATTAATTTTAGGAAATGGGCCTAATTACAGTATACACAGAGATTAATTATGTAATTAGAAAGCATAAGTATTGTTAATGAACAATATTTTCTAAATACAGATATATATTTGAATAATGAACATAATTTAGGATATATCTATGTAATATGCTATTAAATAATGTGGTAAAATTAATTATCGCTTAATTTTTACTATGCATATAAGAGGATAATGCTACCGTGTTTATTTTAAATTGAAAATGTTAACTATAATGCTTTTACAAAGAGATATACACCTTTTATACTACATTTATAAATGTAGTACAACATTTGAAGAAAAAAATACGAAATAAAAATAGAATTATATATACTAAATTCAAAATAAAACAAATATCCATTAAAATTTATTATTAAGAAGTATATTATATATTATATATCAATATATCATTATATAAATTATAAGTATATACATTTTCCAAAACATTCGGAATAATTCCTTTTATTTAACTGTCATTATTTAGAACATTCATAAAATATACTTCATATTTTCATGTATTCATTCATTTATGATTTATAATCCGAATACATATTATATGAAACTTTTATAGTATTATATTAAGATTACCTTTTTTAACATTTAGTTTAATACAATGAACATATCATCTTTTACATACTGCATTTTCATTTTAGCCTAATCTATTACTACATCGGGTATGGATACAAAAAAAGTAAGAATAAATTATTATTCGTATAAAAATGTTATTATGCTTTTGTTAAAGTTATGAACGTTTTACCTAAATGATACCTTGAACAAAAGGAATATACAACTAGCTATGCATCCTTAATATATGTACCCTTAATAATATTAGATATAAATTTATGTAAAATGAAATAAGAAATTTCATATATCTTTAAAAAATCCAGTTTAATAATATTATTATGTACAAATAAATAAGATAAAATTTCTTTTTTTCATGTATCATCCATTTATTTTTTAATATAAATAATTTTTTTTATTCGCTAATGTAAGTGTCTGTAAATATAACTGTTTTAATTTTTTATGTTCTTAATGAACTTTTTCGATTACAAATTTCTATGATAAAATATTATACTATATATGTGAATCGATTATATATTTTCGATTTAAGCATTTTTCAGGAGTCAATAAAAAAACACGTTTACATATGTATGATGAAAATTGCATTATAATATATTACATGGAATCCTAATGTAGTATATGTTTCTAAAAATATTTTCATATATCTGTGAGTTATAGTAATAAAATAAATCATTACACAAGTATTAATTAAATGGGGCAAAATGTTTATAAATGAGGAAATAAAAGCTCAATTTAATGTACACATGTTTCTATAATAAATAATATATTTATTTTACATAAAACAGAAATTAACCTGATGTAATTACATGCTTAATTTATCATACAGATAAATATTCACAAGTGTTCAAATGGTTACACTTAGTAATTATATGTTAAAGTTTTAAAAAATGATACTATTATAATATTTTATCAAAAGAAAATATTTATAAAAATTATTTTCTAATTTATATTAATCTGTTGCAATTTAATGTGATGTATGCTAGGAATATATGAATATATAGTTAATTTAACTATATATTTTACTTGAATCATAAGGTATATATGAAATAATATATAAATATATAATATGCATCTTATTATACGATTTTTGAACGGTATAAAATTTTCACAATTATACATTTTTGTGTATATAAACTAGATTATACACATTAAAATATTAATTATTCCGAATGAAGAAATTACCATTTAAGATATTGAGAAGTAAATATCAATTATTATGGTACACGAATAAAAATAAATAATGTTAAAAACATATTAAAAAATAATATTTTATTTAATAATAACATATAAATAAATAAGTTCATGATATCACAAATTTGTTATTTAATAACGTATGAAGTTTCTATTTTATTAAATATTTTTATTTTTTTACAAGATATATGAAAAGCATATTAAAAATAAAAAATCTCTACTCCTATAATGTAAATAAAAATAGTAACATTTTTTGTAATACATATACGTATGGAGAAAACTAGAATACAATACTATTGTAAAACATATATATCAGAAAAAATTATATGCATATTGTACAATTTAAGAATTAATATATAAATATGTATAAGATAATATTACAATGTTACATTAAATAATATATTCATATTAAATTATATATAATATGAAATCATGCATAGATGTTTTTGATCAAATTAAAATAAATTAACCAAAATTATCATATAGTGCTTAAATTAGCATGTATCATACTTTTAATAAGAGTAAAAAATTTCGAAAACAATGATTTATGTGTCTAAATAATAATCTAACATATTATTTAATAATAATTTTATCACCCTATAATTTACAAAAATAATTACATATATGTAAATATATTAGTACAAAATTATTAAGTGTTTTAACATTTGTTCCTCATAATTTATTATGGTGAGTAGATATTTTAATGTAATTATGTTATATACATAACAGTGTTACTCATTCATTAATAATTATAATAAATGAAACTATGACGTTAAATATGTAATTTTCTTATTATGCATTTATGTGTTAAATTTAATTTCTTATTTCTAACAAATAATAACATCATACTTTATTATATAAGGATAATGCTGTAGAAATATAAAAATTTTTAGTGCAATTTCAAATATATAAAACATTTTGTATACTACTATATCTGAAAAGGTTGTATTCATCTACTTGACCAAAAGCAGAAAATAAAATTTCAGAATATTAGACTATATATTTTTTTCAATGATAGAAAATTTATTTTTTTTATAATATCTGCTTAATATTTTTATAAACACATTTATTATCTTCATTTTTAGATTTATTTTAAGATTATATTTCCTCAAAGTACATATGATTATAATATAGTTAAAAATTTGTATGATGGTAATATAGCTAGTCATGTTATAACTGCGTGTCGTGAATTTGAAAAAACAAAATCTGAGATTAATGGTTTTTTGTTAGCATGTCTATATCTTGGTAAATACTTATATCATATACAAGTAAAATAAAATGACGAAGAACATAAGACATGCGCTTGTAAATACTTCAGCTATAAGCTAAAAAAGGAACTAAAAACATTTGTTGAAGATCCTACAGAAACAGTGGCTAATTACAAACGAATAGGGGAACAAAGTCAAAAATACATTACAAATGTAAAAAACTTTAATCAAGTGTGTAATGGTCATGATGCACATATTGATGATCATACATACTTGGTGTTTCATAATTTGGATGAACACTATAATAATATTGAAAAAAATAAAATAAATTCATGTAATTGTCCAGCTTATATTAATAGTCACAAGAAATATATGAAATTTTTGAGAGAGTGTCAATATAAGTTTAACAAAATATTTACAAGTATTCTTGATGGAGCAGAAACATTATATCACACATATAGGAAAAATATGTTATACTATCCAATTGAATATCGTCCCTCGAAGAGATCACCTGCAAAAAATCAAAAATCAGTCACAGAAGAAAAATATGGGATAGAACAAGGAAAAATCACAGTGAAAAAAACAGAAACAACTACAAGTCTACATACTAACACAATCCCTAAGCCCCAATATACTAAAAGAATATTAACTCATACAATCCAAGAAGTTAAAACAATTACAAGTGCAAATATTGACGAAATTACGGGGGTAGGAACATCCATGGTTATATTAATAATGGTAGTATTATTAATTCTATTCATTCTTTTTAAGGTTATATATAAAATTTTTTTATTAAATATATAATATATTATAAGTTATATTGATTGAATTCTTAAATATATATATAATAATAATATCCATTATATGAAGTATCATTCCTTTGCTAATATTCAGTATACAACATTAGGTTTATTTTTAAATCCAAGCGTAAAAAATATAAAAAGAATGATTAACAAAAAATATAATGATCATACAAATCTGATGAATTCATTTGAATGAATATATCAAAATTCAACTAATGAAAAATTTAAAATATCTTATAACATAGTAGACTACTAATTAGTATATAATATTAATTATTGTAACAAAATTAATGTGATATATGTGATACTGTAAAATTATAAAACTGAATTTTTTAGAAAATTTCAAAATATATATATCGAAAAATGAGATTGATATAATAATTAAAAAATGAACTAGACACGGAGTTTTATAAATTATTTTAATAAAATAAAAATGAATTTTAAATAATTCACAAAAAATATCCAATAATTGTAGTAATTATAAAAAACAGGCGATATTAATAATCTATAAACATATATGTAAAATTATTATATGGTATAAATAACAAGTTAAAAATAATAATATATAAATCTATATATTACGTATATTGATAAAATTTATTGGTAAATATAACATTTTATTCTTACTTCTAATTAAAATATAAAATAAAATCATATATTTAATAAAATAAATACATTATTAGTGTGTAATGATATGATATTTAATTTCAAGTAATGTAGAAATAAATATAATAGCTATGGTTATGTGCAAATGTTTTATTACCATAATTGTATTTGAGAGAAACTGTCGTGATGATAAATGAAACACTTTTTAATTAGACAAGGTTCCTTCTAATTATATTTTAATGTATTATTTATACACAACAATGTATCTGGTAAAAAACTGTTCCTAATATTAGTTTATATATACTTTAAGAATGCACACGTAGTACTGTAGTAGAAAAATATGAAAATATTTATTATCATAATAAACTCAAAAAAATTATATGACTTAATGCCTTTAATATTATTCGTCAATAATAAACGTAATAATCTGTTCTTTTGTTATCCAATAAAAATATTTTCTTATATTTGCTATTTAATATATTTCATTATTATAATGATTAAAAATAATTTCAAGATTTTTATCATTTACTATATGATACACACTGATTAACCCTATTTATGCGTAAAATTTAAAATTAAAAATA